GAAAAGTTCAGATATCTCTCACCACAAATTTTAGCCTTGGCCAGGAGTCAAACTCGTGTCGCTGTGTTCATGGTGCAGTGCGCTAATCACTGCATCACCGCTCTCCTCTAAAAAAGTATCGTGCATACGTATAATTGCGTGGAGAATAACCACTGTGCATGCGTTCATTAAAACCAGCCCTACAATTCTCAACAGTATTTAATTTGAAACAAAACGATGTGTTTTTTTTTTCCTTTGCAAAGCCACTGTCAAATCGCACTAACAAGGGCATTGCCTCAGCCGCTGACACCGAGGCTCCACTTGATATCAAAGAGCCCCAAGTTATTTAAGAACCACCGTGTGGATATGCATTGCTGCCCTGTTGATGACTGGTTGGACTCACGCGTCTCCCCTCAATGCGAGCACATTTTATTTTTCATAACACGTGAGCTGCTCCATTCAATTTGGCAGCAAAATCCTTCTCTTAACCGTTTAACGGCGCAATCGTGTACGCCCGTAATGATACATCTTTAGGTGAGATTTCCAGCGCCAAAGCTTTGCATAGTAATGAACTGCAGCAAAAGCATTTGGCTCTGAGCATTTATTTATTTTGATTGCCACAACAACTTTGGCCAATCTATACTGCCCGTGTAAACATTTGATTGCTGCAGCTAATTGACTGATGGGGGCCTTTTCTAACGTGTGATTTTTTTTATTTAACCAGCAATGGGATACTTAATGAACTGTAGCGATATGCATCATCCATACACTGGGATAACATCCACACACAGGACTTATTCGTAAGACGTACCCAAATAAATGGCAGCATGAAAGAGGGCACCAAGCAAGCTTGAAATTAAATCCATACACGTGCAGTCTAGTATATAAACAACCTGGTGTTGCTTTAATATTTTTGTAGCATGCGCCGCCAGATTCATTAATAATTCAGCAAACTCTAATAGCGAAATAAAGCCGATTTTTTTAATATTAAATTTCTGCAGGCACAACATAACTAGACCTGTCATTAATAGCAAATTAAATTAATTTCATTACACATGTATTAAGTATTAATGGACTAAAATAACAGTTTGTATGAAAAGTAAATAAACCACAATGTGTTTTTATAAAACATTTATAACTGGATTTGATAGTGGGATAAAGTTGAGAGTAAGTCTATTCACAAGAAGGTGCTCATGATGCGTAGAGGTCACTTATTGAATGACCGTTTCAATGTGACTGTGAAAGCGTCCAAAAGTTGGTCAAATTCTATAACAAAAAAGACTCACACCAGCTTAGTGTGAATCTTGAGCACCACAGCTGTGTGCTGGCTACAAAATTGGTAATAATATAATGCGTCTGATTGCATACTACATAATAATTTTTGCAATCAAAATAGATGCAATCATAAAAAGTGTGATTTATATATTCTTAGGTTTTTTCGGTAAAGTCACGTAGGTAAAACATTAAAATTAATAAAAGTAAAATAAAATAAAAATCACGACGTTTCGGAGGCAAAACAAGTCTCCGTCATCAGGTGGGACCGTCACAGCCAGATTTGCTGCATCAAGTGAGGCAAGGATTCAAGATGCAGCAAATCTAGCTGTGACGGTCCCACCTGATGACGGAGACTTGTGTTGCCTCCGAAACGTCGTGATTTTTATTTTATTTTACTTTTAATAATTTTAATGTTTTACCTACGTGACTTTACCGAAAAAACCTAAGAATATGAATCCTTGCAGTCACGAAAGCTTCAAATCTAGAAGTGTAATTTTTTTTCATAGTCTTTTTGTCTTGTTTTTTTAGCTGTTAATATTTTTTCGTCAATTTGGGGACGAAGATCCGCCTTGCAATTGAGACTGCTCCCGGTCTCTTACGCTCTCACCGGGTTCCACAAAATAATTTGAACCCTGTGTGTTTATGCTGCTGTTGTTCCTTCTCTCATTGTCTCCACACAGAATGGTCTTCTGTCCAAATAAGCGCCGGTTGTATCAAGTATGCCAGTGTTCAAAAATACACCATTCACACGCTGTCTTTCTGACAGACCTGTTCTTCGCCTGAGGACGGCTGCTTGCGTTGTGGCCGAAACGTCGTGAGAATTATTTTATTATGTTTTATTTTTGTTATTTTATTATTTCCATTCTACGTGACTTTACCGAAAGAACCAAGAAGACATCACACGTAGTTTTGGTGAATTGTGCCTAACGCCTGACACTCTGTCCGCTCTTTGTGATGCTGTGTAGGCTGCGTGGATTATCATGCAATTTTAAATGTTGTTGTTTTTATGAAAGGCTTATTAAAATTGTCACTAAATATTTGTAGTTTGTTATTACAAGTATAATACATTTTTTTCCAAAAATATACCAGCGCTGCTTTTGATTAAAGCCAAGTGTGCCCATGTTTTTGTATTTTATATTTTCGTTTAAATCTACTCAGTGACCATTCCTGCATTTGCCAGCACTGTCAATAAGTCACAAGGAGAAGCTTTCAAGTCTGTTGGACTTTTATCTCAAAGAACCTGCTTTTCTTTGTCCCATGGACAACTTTGTTGCTTTGTCAAGATGCAAAACTCCGACCGACATAAAAGTGTCGATTCAACAAAAATAATCTCAAAGAAAACTTTTGGGAGATTATCGTCATTTTAGACCAAAATGTGATATATATTTTTTTTTACATAAATTCAATACAATCTTATATTTTTTGAATTTTACGTGACACTTAATTTTTTACGAACCCGTCAATTACAATAGTACATAACCATCCAGTAATTTCAACTTGTATCACGCACAGTACTCACTCACTCTCGAAGAGAAAGAACGACTCAGAGGCGCGAGGATCTACAGTCAAGAAGGGGGATACAGCCACGGAGTGAGCCAACACCAACAATTTCCCAAGTTCTGTGGTCCTCTGCATGGTAAGGTGTTATCGGCCAACAAATTCGTGTTTACGTGCACGAGGAAACCAGAGCACGCGGAGAAAACCCACACATGCGAAGGGGAAGCACTCTATCCCATATTGACGAAATAAGTGGATTCAAAAAGGGGTCACAAGTGATTTCATTACATCTACCCCTCTATTTAAGGAACGAAACAGGAGGGTTTTTCTACAAATCTGGCTGTCGCCTGATGAAGCTAGTTGTAATTACTGGCGAAACGTCGTACTCAGATTGTAAATGTTGTGGCTCTGCTCTCTAGCACACCGGTTAGTGCTGTACGAGTGACGAATTGGTCACATTCTAGTAATAAGTTTTTACCCTTTGAACTGATACAAAAACTGACACCTTTATACAAGGCATCATGTTTGCAATAACCACAACACAAGCAGTGAAAATGCAAATGTTTGCAAATGTTAGCATTTTGACTGCTTGTGTTGTGGTACCAGTTGAACGGGTAAAAACCGATTACTATATTTTGTCACTGCTTAAGGACAAACCATACTAGTTGGCTGTGTCAGGTGGTGGGCGGGTTTAACGACACATTTATATATTTACGCGATTTAACCCAAAAAACCTGTATCATGGGTTCCACATGTTTGCTGTACTGCATTATCGTGGCGATCCAGGGTGTGTATCTTAGTCTTTGGGTCTTTCGGTAAAGTCACGTAGATAGGTTAAAATAAAATAACAAAAACACTTTCTTTGAACCTATCTACGTGACTTTACCGAAAGACCTAAAGAATCTGAATTCCTGCAGTCATGAAAGCTTTAAGTCAAGGTGTAAATCTTCTTGATGCCTACGGGAAGGACTTTTCACAACATTTGTATGATGAACCAAACCTCGCCTCCACAGTGCTGGATTACAGGCGTGCACAACCACTCACTTAAACCAACACATACAAATTACAATTCATGATATGTTATTTTAAGCAAGTGTGATCTGATACATTTGCATTTAATGCATAACGTATTTTTACCATGGTCTTTTATTTCCAGAAAATGTGTGTTCAAATAATCACATTGACACATGTCCGCCCCTATAACCTGCAGAGATTGCTGAGGCAAGCATTATTGTGAAGCACCTATTAGGTTTAGGCGCTGCGCACCAAGCGATGGTAGAACCATCACTCTTCCTGGCTCAATCTCTTTCCCTAGTGCTGATTGTGGGCACACCACGTGGGATACTTAACGTTGAGTTGATTTAAAGGGCAGCAAAGACAATGATCGTATACAAGTTGTCACTGATATTGGTACATGCCCGAGAATGGAACCTTAGGCTGTTGTAATTGTAGCAAAGTTCATGGATCACAGCACCACTGCTCCCCCAAAGAGATTGTGTGTGTGTCTGTAACAAGTAGTGTATGTAAACTTTACACTATCACACACACACACTCTCGGCTCTTGTTAAATGACCATCCTGTACAGTTAAACTATAATCGCAATAAAGTTTAAACTCGTAAAGCTACATTATTGGCGTGTGATAATTTAGTGTAAAGAAAATCAAGCACAACGATTTTGAGAATGCACGCTGACTGGTAATTGGCTGATGTGTAACTTACACGGGTGCTTTTTAACAAGTAAAAATATTGGGATTTCCTATCATTATGCTGCGCTGGAAGAAGCTATTAGCACCAGTCATCAATCAACATCAGGATGCTGCAGCAGCAACAGCATTAGCCCTGGAGAGAACCTCAAAACAGCGAAGACATCCGTCAACAACAATGGGCGCTACAACAGGAGCAACCGTGAGAATGATCAGTGACATTAGATAAGGTCTTAATGCACTTCTTGTTTCGAAGCCCAGCTCAAGAGGCCTTTCATTTTGATTGAGTCATCGTGTATCACGTCTGCAATGATTAAGCTGTAATATTTCAGGAGGAAAACATCTTGCGGGTGTGTGTTTTTTGGTGCTGGTGGTGGGGAGGGAATGGACCGAGTGAGGTGGTGTGATTTGAGTGAAGTATCCGTGACTCATTTCAGCTTAGTAATTTCTGAGCCACTCAATGACATATCTCAAACTCTGTTAGTGGCATTCCCTTTCAAGCATACTTAGAGCTCAAAAAATAATTATGGTAATTATACAAATGAAAAAACCACACACACAAAACTCTGATGTATATATTTTTTTATTACTTCTATAATGTATTTAAAGCAGTCGAAGGGGAATCATACATTTTAATTGTATCTAGACGGCCATGAGAAATCTGGTTTGAACACATGTTGAATATCAGCTATGTTCTTGTGAAGAATAAACAAAATATTATAAAATTATATCGTAACATTTTTTTTAAATATATAATTTTAATTTATTGATTTTTTTGTTTTTACAATTTTACAATTAAAGTTTCTTAATTTTCAAACTTTCCATACCCAAGGATTTTCATGAGGGGCCAGCAAATCGACTCGATCTCCCGTACGGCCGCAGGAGACAATTTAACTCTCCAAGCATCCCGAACGCCGAGAAAATCCAACTCTCGGTGTCCTGGACTCACAGCCCCGGTTCGTGTCGTAAACAGGATTTGGTTGAGCGCCGGCGGCGAAAGGGGCAGGCCCAGGAAGCTGTACACCCTGCCGGCCACCTCCCGTGGGTACCGAACAACATCCTCGACCCTGATTAACTGCTGCTTATCTCCCGTAAGCTGCTTGCTGCTGCGCAAAGCGGCCGCGGCGTTGTCGCGCCAGGCGCTCGCCAGCAGGGCAGCCGCTGGCACAGAAGTGTTCCACGGCAGTTCCCGCCGAGTCGAGAGAGGGCGCGCACCGCCGTCGCAACCCTCGCTGGCGTTGATCGGAGGCTGCGGGTCCAAATGTCGGGCTATTTTCAAACACACCCCCTCCGGGAACGCGGGCTTGCCGGGAAGCTCGAAGCAGCTGTGCATCATGGAATACACCCAAGTTCGCGGGTCACATACCACGTACAGTGTCTTCATCGCGGGGCCAATTACATCTTTCAGCGAGGGCAGCTTGTTGTTCCAGTTGCCGTCGTTGAGCCCGAGACAGAGCCGCGAGTTTGGGAACGCGTCGAGATGATTGCGCACGCGCTGAATGTTTCCCAGCTCGTCGCTCCGCGCACACTTTCTCTGCCCGTAGCTGCCCTTCTTTTTGAAAACGTGTCTCGTCGAATTCGCCCTCGGGATTCCTTTCGCCAAGGGGTCAGTGCTCAGCCTCGTCGCCTGGATTGCGTTCTGAACGTGCGTTCTCGTGTGCCTGACGAGCGATCGAAACCACTGCCAGGTCTCTGGGAGCTCATCGCTGTGATCACTGAACAGGGGCCCTTTACAGGTGTCGCCGGAGGGAGCACCAGGCACTGCAACAGATGGTGGGCGAAAGTAAAGACTGGGAACGGGGATGTACACAAAGTCAGAATTTCCCACGAAGAGCTGACTCACAACCTCGGCTCCTGAGGCTGGGAGAGATGCTATCACAACGGTTGGCAATTCCTGAGAAGCATCGAGTGAAATTAAAGGCAGTTCATCAATCACTTCGGATGCCACTACAGATGTTAAGTTGGCCCAATCGTTTCCACACAACTCTTGGAAACAGACATTCTGCACAACTAATATTTCAAGGAGCCAAATAATGATCAAAATGAGAAAAACTGACCTGGCGATCTTTTGCAAACCTACACTGGACTTTCGGTGAATAGCCACCAAAACTACACCTGTCACTGATGATATCCCCATAAATATAATGGAAATCCTTAAAACAAACACCGTCTCATGCTTGTGTTTGGGTTTTATCACTGTACCCTGGCCAAAGTAAGTAACTTTGCTTCTATCCTCAACCACAGCAAACCCGCCAAAACCAAGAAACCCATGTCTAGCTACAGGGTCGTCATGCTTAGTAGCAATGGATATAACTTTCTCCACATTGTCTAAGCAAACAGACAGCCTGACACCATATTTACTACTCTCTATGAACTTTAAGTTGTTAATGTTTACAAATGGACCATGAAACATGTAGGCAATCCTAGTCACTTGACTTTGCATGGGAAATGTCACGTTAACATACTGCGTCCAACGCTTTTTCATCTCTGCCATGAGCTCGGCTTCTTGGATCTTCGCCTTTGGGCTATTGCCCTGATCGTCAACCCAGAACATTTTGTAATGGGCATCCCAATCGTCCATCAAGGCGCCGCGGTACCCGTTTTCTGTGGAAAGAGGGACGTATCGAACGTCGTAATCCAGGTTGTGAAAAAAGGCACTAACGAGATTGACTGGTGATCTCTCCTCCCTCTCGATGTGATCCAGCACCAACAGCGTCTGCGTGTTGAGCAGGACCAGAGCGCGGTAAACGCTTCTCAGCATCATCCCTCCGGCGTAAGCTTCAACGGCCTCACCGCTGGTGAACACCATGTCCCCGTGCTGAGAGGCGGTGATCAGCTTGCCTGCTCCCAGGCCCCCCGTGCCCGCGTCAGTCTCGGCCCACTCCATGAACTGCCCACACTCGCCCAACTGCCCTTCCCACGGCCGGTGGCATTTACTGCTGGGCGACGGGGCGAAGACCAGCGCGTTGTTGAGGTAAGTGTATTTATGGCCATAGAGGGCCTCTGATACGAAGGCACGCCCGTTCGGGGCAAACGTGAACGAGTTTTGGTCGGGGTGCTCGTGCGCTGGGTTGAAGGCGCCCAGCCCGTTGCTCAGCCAGCGGTAAGGGCTGCAGCGAGCCAAGCGCCGTGCCGCCGTGCCTCCCACCGGCCCGGACTTGAACGACACAAAGGTGCTCTTGTCGTCCAGCGCGAGCCCCCCTCCGTGCGTCACCACGCCCCAGTCGGTGAACAGGTGCAGCCTCGGCCTCACGTGACCTTCGGGGGGCCTGGGCACCAGGCGCGGCTCGTACCACACGAACTCGGTGTGCAGGGTGGCCCACCTCCACGCGCTCGAGTGCTCCATTGGCCCGTCCCTCGGCCTGTGCCTGCGGATCTGCTGCGCGAGCCAGTTGCCGCTGCCGTTGCGCAGCACGTACGTGTCCAGGAACACCAGCTGGCTCTCGGGCCCGTAAAACCAGTTGTAGTTGGAGTCGGCGATGCCCACGGTGCGCCTGAAGCCGGGCAGCACAGTGGCCAGGTAGAACCAGTAGTGCTCCCGCAGCCACCCGCTGCGCGTGTGGTCTATGCCCAGGTGCCTGAGCGCCAGGAACACGTACTGCGTGAGCGCTCTGCTCGCGTAGCTGCCGTACGCGACGCCCTCTTGCAGCGACCCGTCCACCACGTGCTCCAGCAGCAGCATGGCCCTCTGCAGCTGGCCCGTGGCCGCGCGCTTCCAGCGAGAGGCGCGCGCGCGGTGCGTTCGATGCGGCTCGAGCACGAGGGCCCCCGTCAGCACGGCGAGCATCCCCGTCACGGCCCGGCCGTCCGTCGGCTGCGCGCTCCAAGGCTTGGCCCGCCAGTGCGAGAACACGTCGTCCGTGGCGTCGGCCAGCGCGTCCAGGTGATCGCGCCGCTTGGACGCGTTCAGCTGCGCGTACAGGAGGTCCACCGCCGTGGCGAAGCCGAGCAACGTGTGCGCCCCCGACGGGTGCTCCTCGTGAACGACACCCGCAGAGAACGACGACGACGACGACGATGATGAGGATGATGAGGATGAAGACACTGAAAGCGCCAACCGCGGCGTCATCCCAATCACCTGCTGCTGTTGCTGATGACGGCGACGTCGACGGCTCTGCTCGGCCAGCCTCTCCGTGAAGTCGAGAGCCAGGGCGAGCGCCGCTCGATCCGCGGGAGCGAGCACGCAGTGCATGGCCAGAGCTCCCACGTTGCTGCCGTAGATCTCAGCCCATCGGGGGCCGGGTTCCCCGCTCCTGCCGCGACGCGCGGTGGCGGCGGCGGCTCCAGCTGCGCCGCTGTTCGCGGTGCTGGTGGCGCTGTCCGTGGTACCAGACCGGAAGCTGCCCGTGGCGTGCGACCAGCTGGCGGTGTCCGAGCCGTCGGCGGCTGGACGAGGCGGCAGGTAGACGTCCGGTCTGGCGAGCATCGCGTGCGCGGCCCTGCGCAGCGCACGGGCGAGATGCGCGTGCGTGGAGTTGGCCCTCGATCGCAGAGCGCGCACGTCTGCAGCTCCGAAGAGCAGCCGAGGATGCGGCTGCTGCTGCTGATGATGATGATGCTGCGGCTGCCGCTGCTGTGCCGAGGGGTCCCCGCCGGCTCCTTCGGCCCCAGCCCCGGCCACCCCAGCCCCGGGCCGGGCCCCGCCCCGCTCGGAGCGGCGCTCAAAATCAAAAACTCCGACTCCTCCATAGTGGCTGCTGCTGCTGCTGCTACTTGTGCACCCGGTGAGCACGAGCAATGCGCAGAGTGCGCATTCCCAGATCAAGGCTGCGTGTGTCGGGGCTTTCCATATCGCCATTTATTCATTCAGTCTTGCCACTTTTTTTTTGGTTTGTATTCAGATGAGTCGGTGAAGGTTGTGGATGAGCCGGTGAAGGTTGATGGGTATGTTGTGTGTGATATATAAATATGTGTTGTTGCTACTGATGCTGCTGTTAATGAGTACGCTATCCGGTTTGTGGTTTCTGTTGTTGTTAAAACCAGTCCCGACTCTCTTGGTCTGGTTTCTACCCCCCCCCCCCCCCAACCTCTAACGCAGAAAAAAGGGCCAACTCTGCGCTCTCAATCAGCTCCTTTTCTCATGTCTTGCTTTTTATTCTTTACATTTAATTATTTTATTTTACAACGCATGGGTGGTAAAACTGCTGCACTTTGCAAAACGCTTCTCGCACTCTTCCAGCGCTGCTGTGGCCCCGTACGTTACGTAAATGGGTCTCGGGTTCTTGTTGTTGTTGTTGTTGTTGCTGCTGTCGCCGCTGATGTTGCTGCTGCTGCTGCCGCTGCCGTCGTTGTTGTTGTTGAGTAACGTTCATAAGGCATTCGAAACGCAGAGAAGGCACTTACTGAATGGACCGCGCGCGCACACACGCGCGCGCGGTGCAGTCTGTGCTGACGTTAACTTGCACAGAGCTACTCGCCCTACCCGACGTGGTGGCAGTAACAGCCCGCTCGGAAGAAAAAAAAATGAGCTCAGAGCGAACACAAAAAAAAGACAAAAAAGCAACGTGCGTCCAAACGCGCTCAGGCTAACAGGAGGAGGAGAGAGTGTGTGTATATATATCTTACAGTATATAAATAAATTATTATTACGCATGTGATACGCAACCCCAATGATTAAGGATTAGGCCTTTGCCGAGGTAACTTGAGTGTAAGCCAGATTGGTTACCGTATTACTGTTGTTGTAGACCAAACCGCGCGAGGCGAACCACACGAGATGATTAACTTTACAACTCGCTCGCCAGTGTGAGCCTGCTGGTGAGCGAGCCTCTGTGACGTTGAAGTCATTTCGCCTTCGTGAATGAACGGTCACGTTCATCTCGCTGAGAAATCTATTAATGCCGATTCGTTTTTTTTTCATGTGGCCTGCAGCGGTAGCATAGCGTGTGTATTCCAGTCTATTAATATATACACTATGTATAAACTGTGCAGATGCCTGCAATGACATTGACGTAAAAAATGAACATTTTAATTGTTGCCCTATTATTTTTTTTACTATATAACGTGTAAAACTGCATGTAAAATTATATTGATGACCGTGCTATATTTACTCGTATTTTTTTTTCAATAAATACAAATTAGGACATCGATTTTTATCGTCAGCCATCAGTCTCAGCAGGTAAATGAATACGGTACAGCCCATTAGCAAGGAACGCCAAGATAATTGTTCACGCTGGAGTGTTGTATGCACCCACATATTTCAATCAAGCGCAGCACAGTTGCGTGGTAAGCACCGGTATTCGTGACTACACGTGTACCACTACACGTGTTACAGGCACGTGCCATGATTGCACCGGTTCAGACATGATAAATGCGCACGTCTGAATGTGCGTGCTCATAGAAAAGCAAAACACTGTATTGAAAAGGTTTGTTTAAGAAACCTTGGCAACTTTGTGAGTCGCTCTTTGTGTTTAAGTTGCGGGACATTATGTGCTGTGACACTGCGCGCGTTCACATGGACACTTACATGCTGGGTGTAATTGGCTTCTTTCCAGAATCAAGTCACATCGCGCAAAAAAATTCTCATCGCCAGCATTCACCGCGGTACAGAGCGCCCTCTGGTGGTCAATACGAGTGAATTTATTTTTATATGATGATGGCCTTCGCTGCCTTGAAATCACCCCCCCCCCCTCCTCTTTCCTATGCTACATTACACCTGCTTCGTGATGAATCGGAACTGTGAATGCGCGTGATACGTACCGTATATTTTTTCTTGCCTCCTTAGTTTAACGCAGCAGCAAACAAGTTCACTCTGCAGGAGTGTGCCAAGCTCCTCCTGCAGGACATATTACTGATGGGTGGTCACACATGCCCCCGATTATGTAAGGCACGAGGTAGTTTAAGCTCCGTCTGCCTAGAGGGCAGGGAACCCTGTTGAGGTTTGGACTTTACAATGCAACATCCGCGTATTTTATATGAACTTGCTAGCATTCCTCAAAGTTTAACTCGCTGTGATAATTAAAAAAAATTGCAGGATATTAACAATTAATTATTTGGTGATGCTGCTGCGTTGGCAGCAGTGCACAAGCACAGATAATAATACAAACTCAACGTGGTCATCAATAACACTCTGGCCTTTAAAAGCATGCACTAAAACTAAATAAAGTACTGCACGTGCATAATGCAAAATGTTCACACGTGTAGGGGCAAGCGCTGTTAGCGAGCACCTATGAAGGCCAGAACAGTACACGAGGCGTGGGTGGCCAGCACCACGCCCGACCGCCTTTGTCTCCCCAGTGACGATGTTTTACACACCGCACCAGGTACTCATTTCAGGCCGAGTCGATCAGGGGAGGCGCAAGACCAGTTTAGACAATCGTCCCTGGTGTTGGCCGTGAGAGGAAATCGAACCCGGGTCTCCCGGTTCATAGCGCAGCGTGCTAACCGCTACACCACCGCTCCCCACTATTGCCTATGCATACATATCCACATACATATAAATACAAAACAACAGTATTCATTGTCTACACGAGAGACACATTTAGTATTTCTTGAATATTTGCACTGTTCATAACATAAGGCGACCAAATCACCTGGAATGCATCCAACCTCATCAGATCTCAGAAGATCATCAGGGTTGAGCCGTGCGTAACAGGTGTTATAGGCTTGCGCGTGGGCGCCGTTAATCAGCAGCACAGGGCAGTGCAGCAGGATCAGCTGTTGCACTGCTCTGCTTCCTCCTGCAGTATGTACAAAGACACATATCCCCCGTATAGCCTGAACAGGCTGCTGGGGCAAGTGCTGTTAGCGGACACGGCACACGAGCGGTTGGGGTGGCCAGCACTACGCCGCCTTTGTCTCCCCAGTAGTGATGTTTACACACCGCACCAGGTACTCATTTGAGGCTGAGTTGACCTAGGGGAGGCCCAGGACCGGTTCAGATAATCGTCACCGGTGTTGGCCGTGAGCGAGTCTATGCTCCCTTCTCACTATCCTGCAGTGTGATAATGTATGGTCAAATAACCCCACTTCCCTCCACATGTCCCGCAAGGCGTGGGGGAGGCTCTTGTCGTAAAGCAGTAGCTTGATAAGGAACCGCACGTGTATATTAAAACGAAAGTGTTCGCTTCTGTCAGGAACTAACGTAGTAGCTGCAATGTCCAAGAGCTGTGTTTCAGCTTAAATGTGTCTGCCACATTCAGTGGGGCTGTCAAAAGTCACTTCGTTCCAGCAACAAAAAGAATTGTCAGATGAAGTGTATGTCGTTTCATTGCTATGTCGCTGGAGGCATCAAAGATTCATGCCCGCATGCTCTCGGAAAAACGAGGCACTCCTTGACTGACCTGGCATCGAGCGGGGGACGACATCGGGAATGAGCATGGAGAAATAAAGAGGGAGAGGGGAAAGAAGCAATGAAGGATGCACATGGGGATGAAAGTGGGGAGGGGGAAAATCGGGACACACATTTGAAGCACACGCCCCAAGGAGCCTCCCACCAATGTTGCAGAAGCAAGACACGACAGGTAAGATATGCGGCGCTGCAGTGCCAATATGTGTACAGGGTCAATGTAGCACAGAGGTCGCAACCGTACCCTACCCGATACCCGGCTACCCGTACCCAGCCGGGTACGGGTACGGGTAGCCGTTTGCGACCCTGGTGCGGCCGGGTACGGGTACGGGTAAGGAATCAAAACCCGTTTGCGACCTCTGATGTAGCAACAGCAACAATATAACAAGCGAAAAAAATCGCCGCACGTAACCACCGCCCCCTCACGTATGTAGTACTCGGTGATGACTAACAGAGGGTAACGTTTATTTAGGACGACAGCTTTGATCATTTCTCACATCTTGCCACATGGTGCTTTCGGGGCGTTGTCTTAAGGACGGCGCATAACGTGTTAGTTATTGTTTGGTGACCGTACGGAACGGAATAACTTGCGGCAATCACAATTCAGGCGTATGGGAGTACAATTCGTTATTAGGCTAAAAGAAAATGCAAAGGGAGGGAGCGGCACATATTTCTTTGAAGACGAACATGTTTTTTGAACATGAAACCGAGGTGGATATTTTTTTTCCCTCGCCGTTTTTTTGTTTGTTCCACCTCCACCATACTTTTGACCTCTAATACTTGCAATTTAAAGGGGGGAAGGCGGAGGCTTTCATGTATCAAACACGGGGATCGGTCGGATGGGATTTCTGGAATAGATACGCCATTGCCTTGGGAACCGGAGTACCTTTTTTGTTCGTGCAAATAAGAAAATGCACTTAAAAGAAACCAGTAGATAAAAGATAATGTAGAGTGCAATCGCTAAAGCTGTACCCCCTTCGACTGGAACCGTGACTTGGCATGATGGTAAAATGCTGTATCTGAAGGATGCGACTTATACTCGGGCAAAAGCACGAAACACTTGCAAAGGACACACTGCCAGTATTAATTTGCACTCAACACCATTTCAAAATACGCTAATGGCGGATATAGTTTGTGTAATTGATTCGGTAATGACTATGATGAGCTCTATATTTACATTCTCGGAATGCGGCATTGTTATTTTGGTGGATGGTGACTGTCGGAGCTCATTTAACATCACACCGCACTGGCTTGCACGTTTGGCCAGAGAGTGAAAATTCACCACTGTCAATGATGTCATTTGCTGGCGCATTTAAAACTCCCTTACAGTAAGCCCAATTAGTGTTACACGTTGTGATCAGTTACCTGCTACTTGATTATAAATAAAAGTCATGTAACGGAGGAAAGGGGCGGGGTAGGGAGAGAAACGGTAACCGTAGTTCTGTATCCACACTGACCATTGACCAGGCTAGCGATGTATGCATGTGTTCCCACATCGTTGACAGCACCGTGTGGGTGGCTGTGTGTAGTACCAGCCCTAGCGGGGCTTGGCGAGCACTGAGATAGTGTGGGCACCACGCACAGCGTGTGGTGGGTCTCCCACGAGGGGGGAGAGGGTGAGTGTCAGCCCAGGGGCGGTGTTGCCCTGGGCCGTGGCACTCTGGTTGACCCCGTAGACACGTGGTCCGGAATGTCCACACACGGGGCCCCAGGTGGGTGGGCTAGTGGGTGATCACGTGTCCGGAGAGAGCTCTTGAGAAGGATCGAGAGGGAACGAGAATGTTCAAGAAGGCGGGAGGGGGCGAGGGTGGAGCGGCCCCGACCGTAGAGGGATATAAGGTGGTTCCCTGAGAGGGACCGGGGTCTCTTGGTTCTACAAGCTGGAAGCTCTGCATCTCAAGCTGGAAGTGTTTCATCCTACGAGGGACCACGTGGTCGGAGACCCGAGGAACAACGTCTGCGACTCAGTTGGACTCCCTACACATGTGTAAGGACAGTACGGGGTGATGTAAGGACAGTACGGCTCCCCGTGGTTATGGTTACTAATTAATGTAACGGTTAGGGTAATGTGGGACCTAAGTGGTCGCTAATAATGATTGATGCGACAAGCTTTGACAGGGTCGCATGAGGGGAAGCACATGACCTAACGGTCGTAAATTGTAATAAGGGCAGAGACAGACAGGGCCAGGTGTGGTTAGAGAGGGTTCGGGAAAAGGGGCGTGGCCGGGTCGTGATGGGGATAAGAGCCGGCATGAACCGGGGCTCTGGGCTGCTTTTATGGGGGAACTGCCATCGCTGTCGTCACCTTGCAGCGGGTCGTCTTCATCATCCTGGAGTGGGCACCTTGTAGTCTTGGAAGGCTAGAGTTATGTTGTCTCAGAATAGAGTCATCTAAGTTACCCAAGTGTATATAGTCACTCGCGGTTACTCGTTAAGTTACCAGTGAGTCGGCGGACTTTATTCATAAAAAATATACATATAACTGAACAAGACGG